ATTAAAACGTGAACTCGATGAAAGAACAATGATATCTGTATCTCAAGAAATAAAACAAAAACGTCCTACAAAAGTTCAACGAAAATCATATCGTGATCGTGATAATTATTTAATCGAAGCAGAAGAACTCTTAATTAATCGAAAAATTGATCTTACAGAATATGAACGACGTATTAGAAGGTTGACATATGGATATATTAAATATCATAATGATAATGATGATCGTGACTTTGAGAACGATGTATAAAATACAGATAATAGGAAAGATCTTCCAAATTTTGAACATATACGTTTTATGTTATTTGAGACAGAAGCTATTTAATATAATATAGTAACAGCAAGAAAATAAAGTGTTCAGTAAAAAAAACGATTAAATTTACCTGTTTTAGGTGTTGTCCATTTAAATTACTTCGACATTTGTGTTTTGTATGAAACTTTGAAGAATCTATTGAAAAGCTTTGATTGTTGCCCTATTGAGTTATGAAAATATTAAATAAGCTAATAATTCACTTTTGATAGAATCCCTTTGTGAAATATTTATATAAAATATTTTAGATTGTTTTATTATCCAAAATCAGTATTTCTTTGAATTTTCAATTGATTATATTAATATTCATCATTAACAATATTAACATAATCTGAACTATTGATTGTAATATAGATTAGTATTAGCAGGGGTCCACTCCAAAATATATACATTAAAATAAAATAGAAAAAATTGAAAATAGTACTATTTCAATTATTTTAATTCAAGTACCAGCCAAAGATTTTGTTATATGAATATGCTGTTTAACTTGCAATATAAAATGGCTGCCTCAGGTAAAATTTTCATTTTAACATAATGAAAAAAAGAAATTTGTAATCGTATATTTAGCTTTATATATTTTAAACATTCATAAATTCTATACGAGTAAAAGACAAAAGAGGCAACAAAAATAAGCACACTTGTATAGCAAAACAAAATATAATTTATGATTTTATTAACACACGTTGAGGAAGTATGAGAATAAAATACAAATACATTAATAATATGATTATAATATTGTTTACTCATTTGCGAACATAAAATCGAAATTTTAAAACTTTCAAAGTGAAAACAATCTGAAATTTAAAATTTTCGTTTTCTACATTGTCAAAAAATTACTCATGTTAATTTTAAAACAGTTTACTTTTTAACAAAAAAAATGTTTCTTGAGAAATAAGTCGAAAATTTAAAATTTTGGTTGTTAAATTACTAGATATTTACTGAGAACAATTTTAATAAAGCTGATATCTTCAGTATTACAACTATCTGTAATTTATAGAGTTCGTTAAGTATTGAGTTCCACTAGTTCAATAAAATAAGCTGTAATTTGTAGAGTCCGCTAAATATAGTAATGCTTGCTTTTTTAAATTAAATTAACTGCATTTTATAGAGTTCACTAGAGATAATTGTTACTATGAATGTCATGAACTGTTTTTGAATTTGAACGCACCATCTAATTGTCATTATAAAATGAAATGAAACATTGAATGGAGACAACTAATTGAGGTGCAAAAGCATTTATATACAAAACTCAAAAATACAAAAGATGATGTTCGAAAAAAGACAGCTTTGAAACATTGGTGTTGATGAAAGTTGTCACTTGACGAATGCAGTCCGGTCCGCCCACATTCCATTCGGAATAAATATCGAATTGTCACAACAAATTATGATAAAATCTCTGTAAAAGCTCGCCTTGTCTTTAATTAAAATCGTTCTTAGCCAAGTCAAAATCAATAGCCCTTGCTCGTACATTATGAGTATTAGTTTATCAATAAAAAAAGAAAAAGAAATCAGCTAGTCAATTCCAATTTTGCATTTCATTAAAATTCTTCTTAGTTAAGTTCAAACGAAAATCTTCATTCAATCAATACCTAACGACCTCTACAAATTGCAGCAAACATAATTAAAACAAAATATAACTTTACTTTAAGATCTTTCAAACAAATTTACTTTCTATATGCGTTTTCAATAATCAAATTTTTAAACGTAAACTTTAAAGTTTAATCGTTTTACAAAAAAATTAATAAATTACCAACTTTAAGTCAAATGAAATTCTAAAAAATTTAATCTATTTAACTTTATTTTTTTATGTTCGCAAATGAGAGGTAGCCCTTATCATTAGGTACTAGCTACACATTTCGCTAAGCTATATACTCAGAGGAACCGCCATGATTGAGTGACTACGTTCTTCAAAACGTATCCACAAGATACTGCGTTCAAATATCAGTATTACCAGTCATGTAATGACCCTGGACAAGCCATTGATGGCTACTCGTCTCGAATAACCCGTTCGACAGCGTATTGACTACATGGCTAGTTAGTATGTAGGGTAACAACTCCAACATAGACGTCGCGGCAGTGTGATTTCTGTGTTGATCGTAAACTCAAAAAGGATGAGCGTTAGACGGAAGGAGTGTAGGTATCGCCGTCTGTAAAAAGAAAAAGACGAAAGAACCCGACCACATATGGATCTAAAATTAGTGGTTAGTCCCAACGGGCGATAAGCCTATGAGAAATATTACATATTATTATTACTAAATATTAAGTAATGAAACAAAAGGAGTGTGAGTGTGGGTATGGATCAGGGTCTGGGGGAAGAAAAGATCAGCACGCACAACCAACCACACCCATACCTAAGCCCATCCATGCTCAGTACCCACATTCACATCCTCACAAAGACCAAAAATGGCAGTTTTCTCCCTAAGAAAACTGTACTTCGGTTTATCGAGCTGAAACATTTTTTTCTTTAAATAACTAGAATGAAACCGGCTGGTATGTTCTGTTTTCGTTGAAAAATATTGGTGCTAAAGCTCAGGTGCACCAAAATACTAGATGCACCATCACAAAACGTAATTTTTTCAATAGTACTCATCGTTGTAAAGGCTGACGAATTTTTCAGGAACGACATTTTGGAGACAAAATAAATAATCCACTTCATTTCAACCAAAATACTTATAAAAAAGTTTGAGTCGGATCGAGCATATCGTGCTTTTTTAACTTTTATAGAATAAATTTTATTGCACATCAAATATATGAGTATGAATGTGGATGTGATTGTCAGTTCTTATAGAACCCACACCCGCTATATTCACCTGTTGAAATATCTGAAGTTCCATGTAACACAATATAATTTCTCAGTATTCGATAAATGAAAGCATGCAAATTATCTTACAGAATTCATTCAACTTTACCCATAATTAATAGCTTAAAATTGTCAAACTATTTGGAGATAATTTTATAAGTAATTAGATGTTCAATCGTTACTTAATTTCACATAATAGTTATAACTTCGAAAAAGAAATGAATTCTACATGTACGAAAATGATCGTTCTTGAGGAATTACAATATATTCTTAATGCAAGCTTTAATATTAAAAGTTAGCATCTTGGGGACTAATCGGTTTCTAATACCAATGAAGACTGATTAAAAAAAGACTTTTAAAGGTGGTGTTCTCTGTCTTTCTCTATTTGTGTTTATGTTCTCTCATATTTTGACATCAGCGGCTGTTCTGGATGTAAAATCGTTGTTCAAAGTAAATTTGTTGGGTCACCAGTGGCAGGTGCTAATGCGGCTGTAGTTGACGCTCTATTTGCAGCAATAATCCAATTAAAGTGTGTGTATGTATCACAATTCAATGACAACTTATATACTGTTCCGATAGCAATCGTTAGAAGAGGTGTAGAATATAAAAATTACTTCCTGTCTCTGTATTATTCACCAACAAGTCTGACCGTAGGACTAAACACACAGACCGACCAAGAAAGAACGAAGGAATAGGCATTACTTGAAAATTCTTTACTGCAGCGTAAAATTTCGTACCAAAGTTCTGCGTGAACACTCTCAAGTTCAGCTTAATACAGAAACATGCCTGGGCTATTTCCCGTTTGTACGATCACAAATTTTTTCATGAAATTTTTTATCAAAGTTTTCTTATTGTGTAAGTCTTATCGAGACCAGAAAAAGTTTAGAACAATTTGTACTAATAGATCTTTCCTTTTTTGAAACACTCATCTTACTTTGTTTTGACATGTATAGAAGCTGAAAAGTAGAAAAAAGTCGAAGTTACTACTTCTCGAATCTTAGACTTTTGTCTGATAGTATCCTCATGAAGTTGGTCAAGTACGTCAATAACTCATGGTATCCTCATACAAGGAAAATCCGCAATTCAAATAAAATGCTCAGTTTCTATATTTATGTGCGTTTCTTATTTGTAAAAGAAGATCTTGGAAGCCAAATCGGTAGAATAAATTTATTACCAATAAAATGAATGTATTCAAGTATATACTATTTTCTTGATTAGAAAACTATATGATCACTATAGAGTTTTTCGATCTTACACGAATCACTTCTTAGAAGGATCTATGTAGACACGTGGTGCTGGTGGTACAGTTTTACAGTGTGTCTCATCCAACGTTTTGTCAATGACCGATCGATAGCGAAGTGTCGTCTGCAGAAAATAACTTTCGTGTTTTTTCTCATTCAAAAAGACATTCTTACTTTGCCCGTGTTTGGATCAGTGTATGATAAGGTGTGTTTACGCCAATGTTGATCGATTGGTTTCATTTTCTGATTAGCAATCGGATTCTGTTCTATATTCGAATAGTCATATTCATCAATACGATTCTGAATAAGAAAAATCCTGAAAAAAAATGGAATATTGGTAGATGAATCGACTTACAGGATAGTCTTCTCGAGCATGTGCACCACGACTTTCTTTACGTGCTTCGGCTGCATAAATTGTTTGCATGGCATTGAGTAAAAGATTTTGTAATTCAAGTGTTTCAATTAAATCAGTATTCCAGATAATACCACGATCAGTAATCTAGAATAATCAAAAAAAAAAATGAATTTATAAAATGAAAATATATTTCCGGAATGTGAATAGATAATATAGCTACAAATGACTATTAGAAACCGAATTTCTTCTTGTTTCTATTCTCCACATATTCATTTGATTACTAAAGACTATTAGTGCCTGATAGAATCTTTAAAATTTTACTTTAAGATCTTTTTGTTGTTGAAAGAGGTCATCCATCAAAGCACAACCTTTTTTCAATGTTTCTTCTGCACGAAAGACAGCAGCATACTTTTGCATG